TKYWTCSWYTKTTTTTTWTTWYTTTWTTTTTTTYTTTATKGTTTTATTTTATTCTTTCGCTTTTATATATTTCTCTTTCTCTTCATTTTCCTTTTAAATTTCAAAACGATTTCCCTACGAAAGTTTCTTCGGTCTCGTTTTAACAGAAACTTTCACGTTCATCCTTGAGATTTAACTAAGTCGCTTTGACGATATCTCGAAATTGTAAACTCGATCGATCTTTCGTGTATAAGTACTTTGTATAAATACGTTGATGTGTGTGTGTGTCTATTCGTGCAAGAAGGATTTCAAATGTAGATTGGGTAAATATAACGACTCGGATTAAATACTTGAGAAAGGAGAAATGTACGAGTTGAGGCAACATCGATAGATTAGTTCGAAAAGTAAATTATATTTAATATCGGTTATGTATTAGTAAACGTTCATGAGTTTCGTAGTTAGAAAATCGAGTTAGATTTCCAATATTTTGTACACGAATGGATCGACTATTTTTAATTGATTATTATTATTTTTTTTTTCATTTTAAATTAAATCTACGATCGGTATGAGTTAGAATGGAATAAAATATATATTTTATTTACTATTAGTAACAGATATAATATATTTCAGTTTAGTAATATAAAATACTATTAAAAAAAAAAATTCTAAATTACATTTTAAAATCAATCTTTAAAAGGAATAAAAAAAAAAATATAAAATGAAAATCACGTAGAACAACATTTAGAAAGGAAAAATAACATTCAATTAAATTGCATAAAATTGGAATGAAACTTTTTTTTGAAAATTCACGGATCCATTTAAGCATCATAAGTAATATGATATAATATAATTAATTATTATTTGAAATGTAATAAAAATATAGAAAAAAATAGATTATGATAAGAAGTGTGGAAATAAAAGTTATTAAGAAATAAATGTTTGATTATTTGTAATTAATGTTTAACACGAATGGAAGATATCAGAGCGAGCAATTGTAGGTGTTCGATTGGCATTGGTCCAAGTTTTAAGCTTGGCTTAAATTCGGCGGTGGAAGGGAAAGGAGGGACTAGACGATAGTAAACTGGGACAGCTACAGATTAGAATTAACTAATTGCCGTGTGTATGTACATTGCTCGCTGATTGAACACGACACTGTTACTATTTATTTCAACCAATCGTACCGTCTCTTTTCATTAAAAGACACGAAACCACGAAAACCACTCGTGGCTCGATCAAATTCTTTATACTTTTCTAATAAAGACGAGTTTGATTGGGAGGGGAGGGAAAAGAAGAAGAAGAAGAATAATTTTTAATTTTGAATAAAGGGCTATACTAACTCACCGATCACGTTCAAATGCACGAAATGGCTCATGTGCGGAGTTGTCGAGACCTGGCACTCATAAATACCGCTATCTCGATGCTGCGGATATTTTATTTGGAGCGTCCAATCCTCCGATTGAGCTTTGTGAATCGCACGAAATCTCTGATCGTTCGTGTATGTGTACTGACCGATCGTCAATAAGTGAATGTCCCTGTGCCGGATCCATGAAACTTGGAGCGTCATCTGGAAAAAGATGAAACAAAAAAGAAAATAACTTTTACTTTCGTATATTTTATTTCTATCTCTCAAATATTTTAAATTAAACTTCATATGTATACATATTTTCTATCTTTTTCTCTTTATCTAATATACATGTATATAGAGATAGATAAAGAGAGAAAGAAAGAAGTAATTAAATTAATTTATTGAAAAATAACATTCAGAAGCACAGAGAGAAGTAACTGTATATAATAGTACCATTCTCTTCTATTCTATTTAAGTGTATTCAATCCAATCGAGAAATGAATATCATATGGCTGACTAGTTTTCATAGACAATTAATTTATTTCCAATAACAAAATATAAAAGTAAAAATTGAAAAAAATAGATTTTCCATTAATTGATTCATTAATTAATGAAATAAAGTATTTGAAAATGAGGGGGTAATCGATTATTGCATTCAAATGGATATGACGAATGAATTGATACAAAGCTATTTGTTTCGAAATGACCAAGTGGAAATGATAGATACTGTCATTAAAGTTTATTTTTATTTCAATTCTATATCAAATGAATAGATATTTTCAATATTGACTGATTTTTTTTTTTTATAGAAAATGTTAGAAAAAAGAAAGTAAAATGAATTCACAGAGAAGAATCGATTTTTTGTTGGTTGTTAGAAAGTAACAAGTATAAAGTGGCAGAAGAGTCCTTTATCATTGGGCCACAATTGAAAATTAATCCTCGGAGGTTAGGAAACTTAATTTAGGAAAGGGAAATACGAAACACGATGCCACGACTCGATGTACATGCTTCGCGAGTATAGTATAATATAATAGAATATAATATAATATAGTATAGTATATCGTAGTAAAGTATAATGTAATATAGTATAGTATAGTATATTATAGTAAAATATAGTATATATATATATATATATATAGTATAGTATATGTGTTAGTATATGTATAGAAGATTAGACTGGCTTTCAGGATTTCGCGAGGTCTTTCTCCTCTTAGGCGGCTTGCTGAATTAATAGACTTGCTTTGCATATCGCTGGGGAAGTTAGCGGCGAGTAAGATAAAATAGCTTGAAGTTAGGTGCGATAATTGGACACGGTTGATTCTACTCAGTTGACGAGTAAATATTTGTGTACTTTGTTAAAACAAAAGCGAAATTAATCGATGAACTATTGGGTTGCTTACTGGTGATGATGATTGTACTTTTAAAAATGTTCTTCTTATCGAGTTCGAAGTTTTATAAATAACATTTAACTCGTAACATCGATTGTTTTAAAGTTTAGAAAAGATTTGATTTTTCACATTCGTAGAAAATAGAGCATTGATTTATAATAACGAAGAAGTTTCATAAAAGAACATAAATATTCAATTCTTTTGAACTAGTCAAATGAGTTTGTTCGAAAGTTCTTACATTTCTTTTATAAAATCTTATCGTTTTTGTTTTATTTTCGTTGTCGTTCATGTCGTTAATTTCGACTGACGTTCATCCTTGCTATCTCTCGTAGTTGTACGAATCTTCAAATGAAATTGTAAGAGGAAAAGAGAGAGAGAGAGAGAGAGAGAGAGAAAAGAAAAAGCAAATCTGTATCTCAACATGTATGACAATCCTTTTCAAAAATTCATTCTTTCTCTCTTTTTGTAATTTTCTATTCTTTCTTTTATTCTTTCTTTACATCTTCCTTTAGTATCTCCTCTTCTATCCTTGTTTTTTTTTTATTTTTCTGATATACGAGTTATCCAGAAAAGTTTCAACGACGAGCTGACGTTGCCTCTTTCAAGTACGGCTAGTAAAAGATGCCTGAGATAAGATTCTAAGGGAGACCAAGAAACGTAATGTAACTACTTCTCATTCTTCTATTTTCTTATAATTCTATTTCCCCTTTTCCTTATAAATACGTATATTTATTTATTTAGAAATGATTATTTTCTTTTTGAAATATTAATGTTGATTTTAAGGAAATTGTACAATACATTGGTTCTTTGATAAATTATTATTTACATGAGATCTGACATTTTATTTGAATATTTTCTAAGTATAAATACCATAGTGAATTATATTTAAAAAATATTACGAGATAATTTTGTAAAATATTCATTGAAATTAATTTCTATATATATATATATATAAAATTGTTTCACGCAAGAGCTGCGTAATTTCAAAGAAGAGATGATATTTATTTTTCTTTTATTATTTTGAAATTTTCAAAATGATTTCCAGATTAAATATTTTTTAACTTTTTTTTTTTATAAGAATCAATATTTTTTATCATAACAAATTATTTCAAATAAATAAAAATGTAAATATATATTATCCAACTTGAATTTTCTGAATTTAGTAGATTAACAGCGATTTATTACGTTCGATATAACAATTAAATAGTTATAATTCATGATATGTCAATATAATCGATACTTATTGTATTCGATGTAATTGTTTTCATCATTCTCGTAGTTCTGTATCATAGAACACATAGAAACACATTAAAGTAACGACATAGAACCGTCGTTATCGTTTACCTATGTATATATTCAATATACAAGCCGATTTTCTCTCTCTGTTTCTCTTCTTCCTTCTATATCTATATCTATATCTATATCTATATATATATATATATAGGAGTCGCTCTTTGCATAGCAATATTGTTGTCCTATGCAAACGATTTATGTTTCGTACCACCATTACGCTTTCAGCGACCTACTCCAAGTCCATCTAATTTACGTATGCTCTTTCGCACGACTGAGAGGATCTCTCATCGTCTTGAGAAATTCTATAACTGTATTAATAGATACATATTTCATTCACATATATATATATATATATATATATATATATATATATATATATATATATATATGTAAGATTCGTGAAAAAATAGAGCTACTGAACAAATTGGATCAAGAATCAAACTACGGATCTTTCATTTTCTGAGCGATTGCTGTTATCCCACATATATATATATATTTCTTTTTTTTCAATAAATAAATATATTAATAATCGTTTTTAATCGAAAATTTAATTAAATTTTTTCTGAATTGGTTATTTTTTTTTTAATTTTATACCAAACGTTGCAAATTTTAGTGTTATATGATTTTAAGGGTTATAAGATGTATTGTTTTTTATTTAGTAAAAGGTTTCTCAAAGTCCAATTAATTTTTGTTATATAATGCATATTTTATATAATTTATATAAAATGTTATTAATAAGCGATTTTTATTTGAAATATTGTTGTATTTATCTTTAATTTTTTTAGATAAAAATTTGTATTTGTGTTTAATACTGAGAACTCTCGGCATAGGATATTTTGGTAATATTAATAAATAAATAAATAAATAATATTATAGAAACATTGACAACGTGTATCTTCGATTTAATTACGCATTAAAAATTTTTATGACTTTGAAAGTAACAGCTATATGTCATTGTGTAAAGTAATGAAATCCTTGCACTTTCAGGAAACTGTGAATGATTGAAATGAGAATGATTTTAATGGAGACAAAATGTTTTATGTCGAGAAAAACGATCATATCTAGGGCGTTCTATGATTTCCTCGTGAGAATGATTTTAGCGAATCCAATGAATTCAACCGTTCCGAGTAAATTCTCGTGAAAATCTTTAAATTGAAATTTCTAATAATATTCGAAATGGGAAGTCTATTGTCTAGCTTTTATAATAATTAGATAATTCATAATTTCTGTCGATTTAAGATGATGATTTTTATCAATTTAATATTTTTGTGTTTGTTTGTTATAAAAAATAATAATAAAAATAATCAAACGTTAAAGAAATAAAATATGTAATGTTAAAAAATAGTATTTAGAAAGAACCCATTTATAGTTGACCGATCGATAGTTGAAATAAAAATAAAAAGCTTATTTTTAGATTACCGATCAATAAACACCCTGAAATCGGTTGCTGTTAAGTAATGTGGTAACATTAATTAACTTTTTTTTTATCTTCCCAAAAATTACGATCAATTCTCTACAATATTAATACATACACTAAATAAAATTGATATAATTTAGTAATTTAAATTGAAATAAATAAAAAAGAGTAAAGTCATATACGTGAGAAATTGGAAAATAAATGGAACTCCGGTTTAATCGAAATTAACGCGATAAGCAAAATGAATTACTAATGAATCCGTCGTTTTTCAATGATTTTATCCCTCGGTAAAAACAATAATGCTTATCTTTGTCACGAGATTTCTCAATTGTTATATAAATCGCGGTCGTATGTTTGTATAAACGATTAATAAACGCCCATCGTAAAATTCTGGATAGGAAAAAAAGAAAGGGAAGAAAAAAAAATATTCTGTACGTATAGGTATATATATATATATATATATATATATATATATATATATATATATATATACACA